TTATTGCATTTGGCCACAGCCCTCAGAGATTTTCATTTTGGGTAAAATGTTTGTGCAGCCTTGATATATGTATATAAACTGAAACAGCTGGACTAGTGCATCCTAAATTTAACATAAATTAATTATTTTAATACAGTATAGCCATTTCTGCATTGTTTTAGGGAGGTCACCTCCTAACAAATGTCCTTACAGAAAATCTAACTGCTCATTTTAATTCAATAATTTTACTTTTAATACTTAAGTACAAAAAATATCAGATACTTTAAGACTTTTACTCAGGTAATATTCCTAAAGGAGACTTTAACTTTTACCAAAGTAAATTTTTGGTAAGATACTTGTATTTTTACTCAAGTATCACTTTGTGGTACTTTATACAATACTGCTAATTGCTGACCAATCAAGGTTTTCCTTCAACAATGACACCAGTGAASCAGCAAACTCAAATGTTTACACTCTTTGTCTTACCAGTGAACAAATGTCAAGCCACCAACCACATATGAGCGGAAACAAGCCTATCTCCATGACAACCAGCAGGGACACCTGGAACATAAAGAGAAAAAAAAAACGTTGCAATTAAGTTCCTGTTTTCAATTGAACACAATCATCCTAAGTGATGTTGACAGAGACAGTTTGTCTAGTTTTATAACAAAGCGTGTGCTGAGCAGCCGATCCTGCAGTGCTTTTCTAGTTTACCTTGACAACAATGTAGCAGACACCTAGAAGGCGCCGGGACCTCTGGAACTTCACTAATGAAGCCAGAGCCTACAAGACGCACAGTTAGGGAAAATTTGACTCAAAGCACAAGACAGAATGTCATGACAGTTTTTATAAAGCAGGGCAAAAAAACACACTGGACACTACAAAACCAATCTGTCTTTATCCACTGCAATCACAGAACAGATGTCATAAAAAATTTTTCCAAAAAGAAAAAGCCATTTGCAACGTGTAGAGGATACATGACAGACGACGAGTGCTCCAGCCAGGAGAATATATCCCAGTATTGTTGTGATGAGGCCGTCAAAATGGGATGCTTTAATCTGCAGCCAGGGTAAGCAACATTAATACTTCATCAATGTAAGAAACACCTGAATACAAACTGATAGTTTCTCCTTGTGGATTCTAGTGAACCTACACAATCTTCAAAGCCCAGTCCAACCACTGAGAAATGTCCAATGTGATATGGGCAAAAAGCTATGGAGAAATACAGGCATTAGGTCAGAGCTTTTAGAGTGGGAAAGGCAAACATAACTGGTCTCATGCTTTACATAACACACACTCACGCTAAGTTCTCTAGTCAAACAGAGAGAAAGCATCAAAACTTTATCAAGGATAATAACTTGATGAGAAGTCTCACCAAAGACCAGGATGAAGAGTGTGTTAAGAGATACCACCCAGAAGACATGCTCCTAGAAAAAACAAACAACAAGACATGTATTTTATACCTGCAGCACTATGTGTGTCAGAGAGGAGGATAAAAGAGAGAGTCCAGACTCACCAGGAAAACTAGGGAACCATCGAGCCCCAGCATCTGGACACACAAAAAAAATACATTTGTAACACATGTAAGGAAAATAAGGCTGATAAAATTCTCTACTCTGCTGCACATACTGTATATATTTACACTTGTAAAGGAAAAGAGGGCACCAGCTCAGCTCTACTGATCAATAAATACTTTATTTTTTCACACTTCTATAATTAAACTCAACAGCTGAAGCTGATTTCAAAGTCACAGGGAATTCTTACCACAAAATTCTTTTTTTTTGGATGGATGGATGGATGGATGGATGGATGGATGGATGGATGGATGGATGGATGGATGGATGGATGGATGGATGGATGGATGGATGGATGGATGGATGGATGGATGGATGGATGGATGGATGGATAGAATCTAGTCTCAATAATAGTTAAATAATTACTACACAAATATTTAAGCGTAAGTAATCAGTAGTGATGTAATGATTCACTCAAGCCCCCGATTCAAAGTTCATGATTATGATTATTTTCTTTTTTTTTCATCAAAATGAATTATAGCCATTTTATAACCAAATATGTTTCTTTTACTTTAATTTCAGCATTTTTGTCCTTGTATCAAACTACAACTGTCAGTAGTCTTAGTAACAGAAAATAACTTCAAAATAAATAAATGTCATCACAAATCCTTTTGTGACCAAAAGTTATTTCGTATCAAACAGAATTTGTCTTGGAGACATAACTCACTGTTATACAATAACAATGAAATCGATTTACTTGTTTATATGAAACGACTCACATTTTAAACATTTAGAATCAATTATTAATCGATTCTTGATTTCACCCCGTGTAATCAGTCAAAATGCATTTTCATTTTAACTTAGGCAAAATAAGTCTTTGAGCAGGAATTATTTTGATTTGAGCAACTTGTTTCTTTGCTGAGAAAAAGACAAAGGAATTAGGATGACAGGTCAGAATGAGGGGAGAAGACAAAACTGATGGTGTCTCACAAAAACGCTGCTTTTTCTGAGCAGTATCAGCTCTCTGTATTGTTTGGGTTTAACTCGCATAGTTTGCCTCCCGTCTGAYGTCGAAGCTTTCCTGCTCCAAAACCATTTTCTATTAACAGGAGAATATATTTTCTTGAAGATCAAAAATAAAACTGTATTAATATTTAACACTTCAGTGACGTTGAAGAAATTCATTGGGATTTGTTTATCCACTGATTTTTAAAGACACTGCACATAGTAGAGTTTTTCTTCTGTGAACAGTAATATCTTTTTATAATGTGGTTATTTCTGTTTGATCTGATGATTTTATGTGCACACTGGGTTGTGGGGCTCTTGATGAGGGTTTCACAGACTCAGGAGGCTTTTAGTTACTGTAGATACATGCCTGGTTTAACACTTACAACACATAAACGAACCGTGATGAACACTAGTTGTCAGGAAGAAATGTGTGATGTCTGGACTCTTTGTAGAGATAGCCTGCCCCTTTAAAGGGATCCATAATTTGTTGTAACATTAGACTTTATTTGATAAACATATATTTTAACTGTAAAATAAAGACTGTAAAAATACTGTAGGCTGTTTAGTTTTTATAATTTGTAAACTAAAAGTTTTAAAATATATTACATGGGC